TTCAGAAGACCGCCATCCAACAGTAAAGATACTCCTTCCGTGCTGGGAAAAGGAAAGGTCTAAACAGAGGTGTTTTGCATGGAATAGTAACAAAGAAGCTAGAGAAACGATGTTAAGTCAGAAAAGATACATTCCTGCAGTACTGTTATCAATAACGCCACCTTGGATGTTTCCTGCAGTACTCATATATTTTTATATACTGGAGTTAATGAAAGAACCTGAAAATATTGTAGCTGTTGTTGAAGATAGACTACAAACTGTATATCAAGTATTTGTTCCAGTATATACTGATGGATCTAAAGATCCTAATACAGGGAGAACAAGTTTTGCATTCAGTATTCCATCCTTAAACATTTCTGTTAATAGGAGAACATCAGATCATTTATCAGTATACACAGTAGAGATGATGGCAATAGCAACAGCACTACAGTGGATAGAGGAGACTCACATCAAAAAGGTTATACTTTGTACAGATTCATGTTCGGCATTAAAGTCATTGCAATCATTCACATCTCATAGTAGACAGGATATAGTAAATGAGATATATGAAAATCTGTATAGATTTAAGAATATGAACATCATGATAATATTTATGTGGATACCAGCTCATAGGGGGATAAAGGGTAATGAAAAGGTTGATGGATTAGCAAAACGGGCATTGGAAAACGAGGATATCATGAATATCTCACTTAGTAAATATGAAGCAAAAGCAGTAATTAAAGCATATACCACTAAGGAGTGGCAACATAAATGGGATACAGGAAATACAGGACGTCAACTTTATGAAATACAGCGAGAAGTAGGAGTCGTGAGAATAACTAAAAGAAGCACCAAAGAGGAAAATATTCTAACAAGATTAAGGGTTGGGCATACTGTGCTGAATAAAACCTTAAACATAATAAATAAACATCCAGCAGGATTATGTGAGCACCGTGGAATGGGGGAATCTGTAGAACATGTTATTTGTATTTGTGAAAAGTATACTAATGAACGAGAAGCAATGAAGAATGAACTTAGAAAGATGGGAGTGGATAACCTAAAGCTTAAACATATATTTACTTCTGGACTAGAAAGTTTATTTTTGTATCTTAAGAGAACAGAGCTGATTGAGATAATTTAGTGGGAAAATCTTCTTGAGGTAAAGAAGTAAAAAAAAAACAGGTAAGAACTCAGAATAAGAATTTTTTTTTATTATTGTTGTTGTTATTTTTTTTTTAGTAAATATTATTAGTATTACACTTTTTTTTTCTCCCCCTCTTATTATGAAAGGGTAAACTCTGGTTCACACTCCAATACAGTAGGTGGCGATAATGTACCTTAACATTGGTGCTACCCGCCATAAAACCGAAGAAGAAGATACTTTAGGTTTTGTTTTTACTCACAACTCGCTGAACGCGCAGTGGTTTATGAAATGTAAACAACCGTAATATAAAACTCGTGCAGAACTATTACAATGTAAGTTTTTTTTTTATCCTTTTAAATACAAAGCTTGTGTGTTTTTGTCTCATTATACCAATAGTTGTGTTTATGTGTGAAATAGGGTTGCCTTATAACCTGCTAAAAATGCTAAAGATGCTAATAATGCTAACGTTAAGGAAATAAGTGAACATGTTTATTATTATGCTGATGAACACAGATTATGATGATGGTGTTTATTAGTGTGGTTATTAATGTAATTATTAAATGTTTCTACATTGATTACTCAATGCAATCAAATGATTTCTACGTTGATGTGTGGATTGTTGGGTTACTCTGTCTGTTTGTGTCTAATGTTTGACGGATCATGTTGACTCAGATAATAACTGATAATATTTATAAAACCAAAGACTCAGATTATAGTTTG